TGGGAAGCTTTTCTTACTAAGCTTTTGCCTGGAGGTAAGAAAAGACAGCCTTTGCACTGTCTAGTGAGGACAACTTAATTCAGATTTTCCATTAAAATTAATGTCATGCATATATCTAAGTCATAACAATAGTGGTTACAGTGACAGCTTGAACAAGTTTGCAGCATCTAAGTCTTCAGTATATTAAAAAAAAGGTATTATGACTGACAACATGCTGTGGCCTATAAAAAAGAAGAGAATCATGCTTTAGCATTTCACAGATTACTACAGAGATCAAGGAATAATTTTCTTCTTTTGCTTGGATATATATATTTATGGCCATATAATAATATGTTGGTACATATTGCTAAGATTTTCACATCTTCTCAGGCATCAACTGTTGCTTCTGTTAGAATCAGCCACAAGACTGTAACAGTGAAAGATACAGTACAGAAAACCCAATTTTCTCATCCTCTTCAGAAAAATTATTGCATATACCTTTTTGTTCACTTACGTTGTTCTTTTTTTTTAATTGAAAGCTGACACTCTACTCAAACTTATACAATACATAAAAGGAGGCACAGCACTCCCCTGGAGAATTTCTCAGTATAAATAGAATGACAACACAAAAATCTATGAATATACCTCAGAAAAACCCTGGATATTTCCATATATATTTGTGTGTGTGTGTGTGTGTGTGTGTGTGTGTGTGTATTTAATATATATACACACATTTATATATATACATATATATATATAAGTAGATGGTAGCATTTTCACTAATTTTCACTAAAAATGTGAGGCCAACCGTTTTTGAATATTTAGTTTATATTAGGCCAAGAAGAATTCTGGGAGAAAAGAACATGAGGCTAAGAAGAGGCTGAGGAGTGAGGTGATGTGTCACAAATGTCAAAAATATGAGAACATTAATTTACTGGAGATTATAAGCATTTTGCTGCAAAGAAATTTAATTTGTGCTGTTAGCTCTACCTGATAGATATACATATCTGCTATGGTTCTTCCATAACCTTAGTCATAAAACTAATCGCCATTGGTTCACTATGAAATTTGGATACAGAAGGCTGAATTATCTTTTTATAGAAAGTAGTAAAGGAAATAGTGTTTTTTTTTTTTAAAGCAGATTTATTTCATATTGTATTGAACTGGATCCTATTATTGTTATGTAACCAACAGAATTTCAGAAATTAATTGGCACTGGGCATGATTTAAAACAGATGGTTCAAATGAAACAAAAAAAGCTTTATGCTATAATATGACTGTCTGTTGCTTGTAATAGGCCTCATGAACACAGAAAAGGTTGAAACATGACGGAAGGTTGAAACATATTACACAAGCCAAACAATTTAAATTCTAAACATTTACCAGAGAACATAAAGGTCAGATATGCAGCAGTGTCTCTAGACACATATGTGCATTGTATCTTTCTCCAAAGAAAAAGAAAGCAGATGAGAATCAGAAATTAGATGCAGGAATTTCTGCTAGAAACAGTATCAGGTGAAATCTTGCCTGTGGGAGGATATCCTCCCAAACTCAAGTCCTAAAAGATCTGCTCTTCAAAGGGGAGTACTTGAAATAAGCCCCAAAGGATGACTGTTCTTGCTGAACATGATTTTATTCTTACAATGACAATTACAAGAACTGCTTAGGTTCACAGGAAGATTTTGGGATAACTAGAAGTATGAATAATAGCAAGTCAATAGTCTGGGAGTAACAGTATTGAGAGTTCATCAGAAAGAATGTTTCCAGTAGTGGAGGCTTGGATAACTGGAATTCCACTGTCTTTTCCTTTTCAAAAATATACAGAATGCTATCTCACTTTGGAATAATGAAGAACTAAAGAAAGGTACACAGCTCATTTGATTTCTTTCAGCCTCTCCCCAAAGCTCTGTTTCTCAAATATGCTCAGTCCCTGCTATTGGTTAGAGTTGATCTCCCTTCCAAATGAACCTTCTTAGAAGAATAAATCTATTTATAAATGGAAAACAGATCAAGAGGGCAGGCAGAGCACTGTCTCTGTGATTACTGAGCTGAGACAAAGTTTTTGTCTAGGAAAGATGAAAGAACTCCTATAACCTCTCTTGAAAATGCCTACTGTTCTTAACACAATCGCCAAACTAGGAGATGTATGACCATTAACCATGGCACAGATTTAGATTGGCAATGACTGGCAACCACACAAGTGCACAGCACTAACAGGATAGAAAGACATAGCACATAATAAGTTATGCTTAATACCTAGACTATTTGCTTCCAAAAAAAAAAAAAATCTGGATTCTGATTCTCCTTCAAAACCTGCTAGATTCAGCCATGCAGTCAGAAGACAAACACTAAATTTAAATGTTGTGAGCAATTCTGGAAACATAAATGGTTTTAGGTGAGAAGGAATGGGGATATACAGAAAAGAGAAGAATTTAAATAGGAAATCAAATTGTATTTTATGTCTATCTCATGGCTCTATGACTTCAGGCCTTAAAGTCATGGCTAGGTTAAACTGGAAGAGATGATAGAGTTGAGACCCTCTAAATTTTAGCAATTAGCACAAATACAAAAATGGAATTGACCATTTTTCTTTCCCAGCCACTGGATCAGAACTTCACTAGACATCTTGTGTAAGGTAATCTGAACTGAGCTGGGTTCTCATTTTGCTTTGATTCAACACTAGAACATCCAAAAAACTAACCTCATTCTCAAGTCCAACTTTACCACAACAGCAAAAAGCCCTGTAAATAAGGCACTCAGTTGTGGTATGGAAAATCCACTTCCAGGGTTCTGCTTATGCCTCATACGTATAAACAACTTTAACCTAATCCTCTCATAACCCTTACAAATTCCCTAACCACAGGAATATGAACTATTCTAAAATAAATTGCATTCCAGCTCTCTTCTTTGAGATGTTTCATCCTAAATACAAATAAACATTACTTAGGCAATAGTTCAAATAATGGATTCACTAGAATGTGAGAAGCCAATACCAAAACATTTGCCCCAGTGAATATGAGGACTGGGAAAGAACAAGGAGGGCAAGTATTCATAGGTTTCTCAGTAGTATTAAGAATGGAGGCTTGAATATCCTTAATGAAAATGGAATCTTGGCTTTGTAAACAGCTTTTGTTCGGATGCACACTGCAATTTTTCCAAAAGTTTGACAAGTTTTTGGTTAATCTTGACATAATTTCTGATCTTTGCTTTAGAGTTAAAAGCTTTCTGAAGAAAAAGCCACCAAGACTTTTAAAGGGGAAAAATAATCCCCATATTTTTGTTTGCTCTTGTTTCTGGAAAAAAAAGGAATCTGAAAAAATTTAAAATCGTTCTGCCTGAACCAGCTGTCATTTAGAAAATTTAATCCTAAATGAGTAAAGTGTCAAAATTGTGAACAACTGAAACAGTGACCTGTTATGCTAGCTGAAATCTTTGAATTCATGTTGCAAGGACTATTGGTATATATTCTAAAAAAATGGACTATCTCCTTCTTATTGAGAAGCAGACAGTTACTCAAAGGTGAAAAAAGATGGCATTTTTATTTTGTAGTTTGATGGGTCTTGCAGTCCCAAAAAAAAGATTGTGGAAAACAAACAGTAAATCACATGCCTGGCAAAGTAAAAAATAGTTGTGGCAAAAATAGAAGAAACAAGGACAAAAAGAGACTGAAATGAAAACAGACAACAGACACACCTTCCTGGACACAGATTATATTTTGGTTTTGAAGGCACACAAACACAAGGGAATAAGATTGATGTACTTCACGTGAGTTTTCCTTAACGACTTAAAGACATTGTTGCCTCTTTGTCATGGGTCGTATTAGTAATTTCAGGTTCAGTCATCTGACAACACTAAGAATATACAAGATGGAAAAGAGGCTGAGGAAAGAACTGAGTAAAGGACTGCACGTTACAGGCAGCTTTCAGGCTGAAAAGTCTGAAAACAGTTATCTTCAGATGCTTTTTCAAAAATATTATGACTGACTTACATATATATATTGCATTCTAAAGGAGCAATAACATCCTGTAATCGTTACATTCCCTTTCTCTGAGCGATTCTTTCAGCCCAAAATTATTATCTACAGATGAATTATTTGGAAAAAGAAAAGTTTATTTTTTCTTTATCCTCTTGAAGGTTTTTATTTCCCTTTCTGTGCTTTAGCAACTGCTGATCCATTGGCCAGTGATGTCAACTATAGGTAAAGCAGAGGCTCTTTATGGACATTCATAGACCTCAATACAAATGTTACCCAAAAGTCAAATTCAAAGGAAAAATTAGGGCATCTTTCACATGGACAAGAAATCCTGAAGATTTTTTGTTGAAGGGAAAGAATAAGAAAAGTTAGCTCTGAAAAGGAGATTTGTCTGGTTGTTTACTCTAACCCGCCTGCAAACTGAGTGAAAACATTTCTCAAAAACTGATCTATGCTGCTATATTTCCCCAAATTAATACTGAGATCCTTTAAGCAAAATACATTTTGTTCCTTATACAAGAAAGCATTGCTTGCAAGAAATGCCAAGGTGTCAAAGGGTTTTAGAAGGTCTAAGTGATGTTTAATAACTTGAGCAAGAAATTTTGCCTATTTGCAGTCTACAATTGGGGCTGGCTGCACAGCACACTGCTCTGCTGTACGCCTTTGTACAACCCCAGTCAAAGTTCCTATTGCAAATTATATTTACTAATATTAGTCTATATGGAGCTGCCTGCTATTCTTTACTCTAGCTCAAATGATTTAACCCCCATTTTTTCACTTTATTAGCATTCCATTGCTATGACATAGCAATTTGAAATTTAGAAAGAGATTAGCCTTTACAGAAACAAATGAGTACATCTTTTCACGCACCCGTGGAAATCCATGCAAACTCAGGCACTCTATAAACTACAGGAAAGTCCATAGTTTGCATATGCTCTGCAAGACTTGGCAGAACTTCACAGATGAATTTTCATACGCCAGGGCACTACTGGATTTTTCCTGAATTGCAAATTCTGTACTAGGCCAGCATTGTAACTTACATGGACAATATCAGGACTTTCTGAACAGGAAGAATGCTTCTCCAGTGCTCTATCTGTTCCTCCTGCTGATACGTGGGCAGTACTGAGGTACTGAGCTGCTCCATTCCCTTTGTGCTGCATGAGGGAATTGTGCAAAACAGATATAATATGAGCATGCTGTTGTACAAATGTGCATATTTCATAGCGCATATGGAAAACGTGAGGTTGAACAGGCTACCTGAATTTTGGTTTTGCCTACTTTTAAATACTTATGGACATAATTACTAAGAACAGTAGGTATGTTATATTAAAGTCAATACTGTGATTTTTAAATTGATTAAGACTTTTTAGTGTTAGAGAAACGATGATAATTTTCAGAGAGCTAGACTTCTGAACATTTGATCATACTTTGCACAGAAAAAATTTTGTACATTTAAATGTTCATTTTTCATTTCTCTTTTTCTATAGCAAAAAAGTTCAAAGAAAATATTTGAGCTGTTCCTTCATAATCCATATTAGTATACCAGTTCCTTGAACCTGAGCGATCACGGCTGGGTCTTACCTAGTCGAGCTTATAATTTAGTTGATCTGCAGCTATTCGGTTTCATGCCTCCTGGACCAAGCCATCCTGAATAGCGGCTCTCTGGACCCATCTGACCTTAAAAAAATTGCTGTTGACTTAGACCTCCTTAATTCAGCTGTCAACTTAAGCAGTAGTTTGACTGAAGTTAAATCATCCTTTACCTAATCTAGTTTACTGGAATCAGGTAGTCTAATTGTGGCATCTTTTTAATAAAGGAAGCATTTGACTAAGCTATTCTTAACAAATATCTTTTTAAAACATGTTTGAAAAAAAATACATCAATAGAAATTAAAATCCTTACACGTTGTAAGACAAATTTATACTCTCATTTTAAAAAACATGAGGCAATTTTTTCATACTTGGCTTGATTATTAAGGCTCAATAAAACTCGAATTTGACATTTCCAAGTAGTTATTTCATCTCAAAAAATCTGATCAGAATATATATGAGAAAGTATACTTTTGTCATGCTCATAGGACTCACAAACAACAAGATAGGTATTGCCAGCTGCTTCAGTTTCCCGTAAGCAGACTGGGAGTGGTGTGCTGGGGGTTCAACGAAATTTACTTCTCCACCTGCATTAGTACAAGCAAGCACAAAGCACACCACTGAGTCATATGGCACTCGAGCAGCTTATATAGGCTGAACTTGCAGCCTCCCCAAATGAGCTTGAATGTTCCAAAAGGAAAACCATACTGAAAGGTTTGTTTGAAAATTCTGTACATTCAACTTATCTCTATGCATAACATATCCTAACTGAAATAGGTAGTGGGGATTTATACAGCAGAGAATAACCAGTAGGTAAATCAGGTCCTGCATAATGGTCCCATCCAAACAACGATCTGAGCAAGAATGTTCTTTGTGCCAGTCATATTCCCTATCTGAGCCATTCATTCTTGGGAAGTGTGAACTGTTGCTAAAGTTTTCACATTAAACTACTATGGTAAATAATACAGTGAAATCAGTTATTAGAAGTTATCTATATTATGTGGCTCAGTAAGGAAGTAAACTGCCATCTTAGCGCAGAACTCATTAAGCATTGCATATTTTAAATTTGTCTGTGCTAAAACAAAGTCATTCTTACAGGATTATCCTAGAAGCCATTTTGAAAAAACAATACTAATATGAGAGTGACTTCTTGGAAGGTTGTATCGCTGTAAGAGTTAATATGGTCTTTGGAGGTATAAACAGGAAAATATCTGGAAATGACACAATGGTATTCTTTGAGATGTTCACTGGAATAATATATACAAACCTATTCTCCACAAACCTAAAACGATGCAAAATGTGGGCAAGTGCAAACTGCAAGAATGATTTAAAGGCTGGAAAATCTGCCTTACAGAAAGAGTTTTAAGAGATTCAATCTATTTAGCTCATCAAAGTCAAGCTTAAGGGATCTACAAGTACAGTCACGAGGAAAGGATATCTTACACTAGAGGGCTTTTTCACATAGCAGGTAAAGATACAACTATTTGCCATGGCTCAAAGCTCAACAAAGTCAAAGCTCAACAAATGCAAATTAGAAATAAAGTATGTTTTGAACTGTAAGAGTTATTAACCAGTAAGGAAACTCGATAAGGCATGTTCTGGATTCTCTCACATTTGAAATGCTTAAAACAAACTTAGATTTTTTTTCTTTTGTTTTTCAAAAGATATGATCTAGCCTAGCTTGATGTTGGGCTAGAAGATTATGAGCCTGTCCTTGTAGTCTTCTGAAGATATCTCCAAGTTTGCCTTGTTCCCTCTCTAGATGAGCCTGTGGCTAGACAACTCCAGTCAAAATAAACCTTGTTTAATAAAACTAGCATCTCAAAAGGACTTATTAGCTCAGGCATAATACTACAGCATACTCCAAGGCTACACAGATTTTACCTATTAGGTAGCTTGTCTCTAGCCAGTTCAGCACAGGCAGAGCAAGCTCTAGTCCATCTGCAAAAACTCGCTATAGTAATACTCTTTAAATGTCCCTGTAAGGTCAACCACTGAATGACTCCTTTTCTAGTCAACAACAACAATAGGAAAGGCACTTTTGAGATGAATTTATCTGATCTACTGGATGAGAGGAATCTCCAGAATGTGCCTCCAGAAATCACCTATTTCTCACTATTGATTATTTTTACAGTCAAAAGGGAAAACACTATATATACATGGCGTGAAGGATTTATTGTTATCCCAATTAATGCTTTAACAGGCTAATAGTCCAATTATCTAACTAATAAAAAATCTTCATTAATAGCGCAGTTTGAATTGCCATGCAAAAAAGTTCCTAGTATCTCCTCCTTTAGGTCCTAAGGTTGATAGTTTCAGACTTCCTCAAGAAGAATAGGTAAATGTTACAAACACCATCCTGTGGTCTTTTCTGGGAGGAGTATGATGTTCTTGGTGGGGTTTTCTTCCTCCTACGTGTTGGGCTAGCTTAATCACAGTCTGCTTCCTTCTTAACAGTGCCCAACTAAAGCCTGAAGTTGCATAAGAGCTTCCCCCAGCCCAGTGGACACGCAGGCCTGTTGCTTGCTAGGAGAAACTACTACAGGGTGTCAGGCTGTTCCCAGAGCCAGCACTGGCAGGGGAGGCAATGGCCACTTGCCACCTAGCAGTCATTATCATAGCTAAAACCAGCTAAACTCAGCTGGGGCCACGGCAAACCCAGACCAGCCTTGAGACCTGGAACCTTCAGTTCAAAGCTTGTGGCTCCTACTAGTAATGGTAAAAATCATTTTTACTGGGTTACCTACAAAGAGACTACTTTAAATACAGACATAAACATTTTGTCAAACTGCACTACCCTTTTGAACCACTTAACATTAGTAACTTTCAATAAAATCAGGAGTGGAGGACACAGTGCTGAGCCTTTAGGTGATTTTAGGAATCATATTGTTCTAGTTTTTAATTATTCGATACTGACAAAAGACAGCCGTTACCTTCTCTTGTATAACCTTCTTAGTGCTAAGTTTAGCTGAATATAGAAATATCTTCCCTCTCTCTTTTTTTCTTATTTTTTAGTGCAAACATATCACCTAAGCAAGTAAACAAATAATCTCCTATCTAATCTCAAATAACAACTATTTCTGATTCCTATAGGAAAAAGCATAAACCCTGTATCCAGAAAGTTGCTCACTGCTCATGTTATAGCTCGCAGTGAAATTCATTTTTGATCCCAATTAGTGCTCAGTGTGTGTCCTAGACCCAAGCATTTATATGCTTCATAATTTTCATTACAGTGGGTAGAACAGTAGATGCTGTTATTCATATAGAAAAATCAGCCTTTAAAGGGTCACAGCTGTATTACTACTTTTTGAAGTTTAATCAGCAGTTCACTGCAAAGCTGGTATGAGTGCTCTGAATGGCAGGGAATTTTCTGTCTTTATGGGGAACCTGAATCAAAGGTAGCTGCATGGAATTTCTATCAAAATCAAATGCTAATGTACATTTATGCCAAATACTAACCATTTCCTACACTTCCTACACTAACCATTTTTAGTATATCCCATAAATAAATCAAGGGACCAAAAAAGTAATCACTTTAGTATTTGGATTGTTTTAGACTTTGGTATTTCTGAGGTACCTTCCCTGAAAATAATCAGAATTGTTGACTAGCTGTTCTCAAGGCTCTCCCTCCAGCTCATATTATGCGACTTTAATCTTTCTGATCAGCTTCTTCTCATAACCCTAGGAATTTAAAAATATGTTTAACCTTAAATTTCTTCAAAGTATAGTTACTATAGTTAAATTATATGTCAGAATAAAGTATAGGAAAGGGGTTTCCTGAGAACACTCTGTTCCATATAGATATAAAAAAATGTAAAGAAATTTTGAAATATGCCATATTAACATAATGCATCTCAGGGAATATCTGGGTACTTAACTTGACCTGATGCTAAATAACTCAGAACTGAAGGCTTTCAGAAGCTTTTCAATACAAAAGAAGTTGTAAAATATTCAAATTAGAACAATGAATGTTAAAATTATTTCTAATGTTTGGATTAAAGGCTTACATAGTTTAAGATAACCTGGCCTCAAAGTTTCAGATCATATTAGTTCATAAGAACAATAAGAAAAAGAAGCGAACATAGGTAGAAAATCAGGAGTACAAGTGGTAGGTGTGTCTCAGAGGAAAATATTCCACCAGCAGTGGGTGGAATACTGTGGGAAGCAACTCTGTGGGAAGTGATGAATGGAACAATGGTCTGGAGAAAGAAGTGACAAAATTAATCTTTTCAAAACAAAGCTAACTGTATTCTCTAACTCCTCAACTACTAATGGAATTTATGTTTATACAAAAAGAACCATTCACAAATTTCACAAAGTTAGATTCCTTCTGCTGTTATTTTATTGGAGAGTTTACAGGTAAGCAACAGCTTTAACTTTTCACTTTCAGGATAGAACACAAGATTAGTATGCTTCGTATCCCCTAATCTGTATCCCACTTGGCTTTTTCCAAATGGGGTTTAAAAGGTGGTATCCTTTGACGGGAGGTTTTACTCTCGACAAGTAGAGAAAATTCATGCATAGCTTCTAGTAAAACCAAAGATTAAGATCTTTAGCTGCTATGAAAGCGCAAGATTCTGCTGAAGAGCACTCTAACATCTGTATACAAATATCTTAGCAAAATACTATGTGCAGAAAAATATGGAAAAAAATATTGCACAGCATTGAGTGCTGACAACCAGCAGAGATCTGCGATTCAGCAAAACATATTTCTACATGTGAAATTACCTTCAAGCTTAATTATATAATTTATGGAAAAAAGCTGGGCACATACATTGAGTCAGGTATCTCTTTGCTCTTCTTTGAACTGTTTTCTACTAACAGATATCGCTCCTGAAACTGTAGAGCCTGACAGTATAATTTTTAAAAGCTTTCCATATTTAATCCTAACCTCAATGTGTTTATGTGGACCGCAATTTAGAGTGCTCCTCCAGAAAACACAACAGTCAAGCTTTATTTGTGAGCAGCACAGTTTGAACGATGAAAGACAGCGAGAGACAGATGTGTGTAGAGATAACTTTACATTTCTTTCTATCATATATTGATTTTTGCAACAGAGATGGGAAAACATCCTTTTGTGAAATAATGCCACTGGAAAAACCTCAGGTATTGCTCTAGAATTTCTTTGCCCAGAGTAAAATCAGAAAGCCACCATAAAAAATCACAAAGAATATTCAGTACTTCAGAGAATTAGGATTGTTCTCATTAGGCTTTTTAAATCTGAAAATAAGAAGCAAAACGGTTAGATACTTCAAATTTCTGAAAAGAAGTGGTACTTCTTCAGTTTCTCTGAGATTAATTTCTATCTAAATTGAAATAGACCTAATTCTATTTTGGACCAGCCAGCTAGACCACAGTGAATAACTGCTGAGTGTAAGACTGAAGGAACCTGGATTTTAATCTCAAAGTGTAGTTGCTTGATTCCTGCCCTGCAAAGACCATTTTCCCAAACAGAAAACATAGTAATAGCCTGAAGAAAGTTTTCTTCTCATACCCTCTTCCATACCTGAAAATCTCCACGAGTGCTCTTAAACTTCTCTATGGCAGTGTTAGACAGGAGTTCATCAAATAATATTTGTTCTTTCTGGACCCCTAAAACAGCAAAAATAGGAACGTACGTATGGAGGATGTGCATAAGTATATAGGATAGCCCTCTAAATCTAACCTTTCCTCCCCTGAAGCCAGTAATAAGGCCCACATTGATTCCAGAGGATGGAAGCTGTCACTTTTAAAAACGGTGGAATAGAAGGCACCTTGCAGCATTAAATACTCTACCATGAAATACTTAATGACAGAAACTTCTGCTCAGTGATGTAAATGCATAAAAAAACAAACTGCAGGGGATGAACTTTCAGAATTATAATATAATAGAATTAATTCATTGAAATAGTTTTCAGTGGGATTTTTTTCTTCTACGTTATTGCCAGTGCCAGCACCATTATTTAAGAATTGCTACACTGAAAGTACATAATTAATCCTCTATTATGTACCAGAAATGGTTTGTGCTTTACTTCCCAGTTATAGGATTATTGCCACTTTTTTCTCTTAATTAAGCATTATATGTTAATTCTGCTTTCTTCTCTTAGAGCCATTAGCATACAAATATAGGCACTGACTGTATCTTCAATTCTCTGTAAAAGATTAAGTTTTTAAATTCCAATGGACTAATGATTTATTAAAAAATAAACATGCTGTATGAAATTACTGTTGTCCTAATATTCCCATTAATAAATACACATCTATAATAGAAATGATTTAAGAACTAATTTGGATGAGATAGACAACTGAAATTTTAAATAATTAAATGGGTATTTACTATCTTTAATTCTGCAACACTAATGCTAGGCTTTTTTAAAAAATTGTATGCCTTTGGTTTATAGGCTATTTTCTTTTCCATTTCAAATCATAAAAAAATATAGTTTAACATTTCTTGGTTGACATTTCATCTCTTTTTTGTAGCAAATCAAAATAAGAGACTATATAGTCTCATTAATATTAATTAATGAAGAGTGTGGATATATGCTGAATCACAGAATAGGAATTCTCCTCTTCCTACAAAATTTCTCCTATTTCTCCTATTTCTACAAAATAGGAGAAATCAAAAAATATAATTGCCCTAAAAAGCAAGAATCTCTGTCTTTCTCTAAGTGTGTATCAGTCTCAGTGCAGACTTGAGTTGAAACTATACACATACATGTGTCTGTGTGTATGTGTGTGCGTGTGTGTGTATATATATGCACGTATCTATGCATATATATCCATTTTCCACATCATAAACCAGGCAAAGACGTCATATGAGTCTTTGCAAAAATGTCCCACTGCTCATTCTAATTAGCAGAAGATATCGTTTTTTAGAAACTAAGCCTCACTTTTTAGAAACGAGGGTCATCCTCTTCCACTGCATTCACCCTGTCTTCCACATAATGCCTCTATGGCAGATATATCCTTCCCCAGTTCATCTAGTGTCCAGTCTCAGATCACAGACTATACACAATGCATTTTAACCAGGAATAAACATAACATGCACAACATCAGTGGTGCAAACCAAAGGCTGATGCATGACAGATTGTGTTTGTTTTCATTTTTATACCATATTCTGCTAAGAAAAGTGACCAAGAACCTCCTAGAAGGAGGAGGAGGTTATTCCTACTTAGTCAGTTCACATCTAAGGAAGAAAACCTTCCAGAGCGTGGCAGAAGCAGCTGTGACAGAGTCATAGCAAGTAACTGAAAGTATGCATCTCAAGCAAGGATCCTGCCAAGAAGATCACAGAGTAGACAGTTAAAGGGTCCACAATTTAAGGCTCTTTTTCAGTCTGAATCTTTGGAAAAAATAGGACTAATTTTAAAAAGAATTTAGAATTAACCAGCATAATCTTTCTCCTATAGCAGGCCAAATGTCAGGGTGTCTTCTGTCTTACGTGACAGCCTTTGTAAATTGGATGGGGTGATGTTTCTTAATCCATAGTGAATTTAAACATCACCTTTGCTTACCAGTTGGCTGCTGTCTGTCTCAAATATATGATCAGCTGACTGGCACTACAGTACCTTGTTTTTACTGCATTATCAATTAGAAAAGTTTGCTATTGTTCTCTACTGCAGACACATTCTTTCACATGCTAAATTGTCTTAGGTGGACCTATTGTAGTGAGGTTAGTAGAGTAAAGTCATTTGGCCAGAGTGCACAAAACTGTTCATTGCTGCACACATATTGTTGCATCAGCTATTCATATCTTTCACTAGATACAAGGACTTCAAGGAGTTTTCTGTAAGGCCTTTTCAGTAGTTAATATATGTTCTGCAACAGCTTCTCTGGCAAGTCGCTTACTGTAGTGGCCCATAGGCTATATGGCAGAGAAACAACAACTAAATATCTCGATGACACAAAAAGGGGGATAACAGCAGACACATGGGGAACAACAAGCAATTCAGTGTTGCACACAGCCTCAGCTCTGCTCTGCAAACTCCCCACCCAGCTCGGTCAGAAGATATTGGCAAATCCCACTGAAATAATATACCAGAGCAAGAGAACATTCAAAGCCTTCCTACCTCAGGCAAGACACATGAAAACATCCAGCTTATTATCTGCAGGAGGAGTTACCAAGAGATGTCTCAGCTCTGCCTGTAACTCCTTCCTCCTTCTACAGAATAGTATTTTTTGTCTACTTAATTGCAATTTTTTCCTAATCATACTTCTTTAAAATAGTAAAAGATGTACTCTGTACTATGAAGGTATACACTCCATCTCCCACAGCATTCTCACTTGGAAACTGAAGAATTACAGACTGGCCAAGTGAACTGTTAGTGGGAAATACTACTAGGGAGAGAGGCATTATAGAAAAGATATTATTATAAGTATATGTATTTTGCAGGTCACAGATCTGTGCATGTATTCCTTGTGCTAGGCAGTACGCACAACTTAATAGCAGTGACCTGGAGTAGAAAACACCTGGCTCTAGCTAATGAGCTGAAGTTTTTCAGCCTCCTTAAACGTTAACAGCACTCAGCAAAGGCTATGGTGGAAGGGAATCTGCTTTACTTCATAATGCAATACAAGGAATTGTCTTTTATAGTGCAGTGCCACTGGTGTTCCAACCTACACTATAGTTGATTTTATTCGCATGCATGGTTCACCTATGCAGCATTATTATTGTCTTATTATTACATTTTACTTTAATTGTTATTTCAAACATACCACTATTTTTCCAAATCTACTGGTTATCAGAAAATACAATAAAATTGCAGCAATATAGAAAGCTAAGAAATTCTCAGTGATCAGTAATCTTGAAGAGTCACAATGATGTTCATAAATATGTTAATTTATGTTATTATGAATTATATCTGATACACCCATTCTAAGACTTCTAGCAATGATGCGGCTGCTGGTGAAATGGCAAGGAAATTACCCTTTGTTTGCCCACCTACTTCAAATAAAATTTTACAGGGCATATGTGACTGCAAGGTGGGAAAGGCAGGGTCAGATATCAGCATAAAGAGACACTCAAGGTTCATGAGAGGTTAAAAAGGATAGATTTTAATAAAGGGTTTACACTCCAAACTGCACGGGGAGCCCTGGGAACCACGTGGAAGGGTCACTAACAGGAGGCTGCTGGACGCACGAGTCAGACACCCAGGCAGGACTCCACTTGCTGTATTTGAAGGGCCCCTTAAATCTACTAGAACTATTTCCTTATCTCAGCTGTGCTAACCTGGAATAGCTACCAGCTGGGAAGTAGCTAGACATTGTTGACAAAATGGAATATCCATGTCTGGCCTTGATGGAAATTCGGTCAGTGTGCAAAGTGCATGTTGTGGGGCTGCTATCACATAGTCTGCCAGTCACCTGACTCCTCACTACAATTTCTGCAGGTGTTCTCACTACAACGTATAAAATATTGCAGGACTTTTTTTCTGTTTAACCAACACAGTATCCACTAAATACACTGAACACTCAGGAGAGACCAAAGAAACCATTCAAATGAGGAGGCAATAGTGTGGGTTTCAGTGGCAAGGAATTTTGCAAATTGTATCAAATCTGAAAGAATTTCATTCATAGAATATAGGAAGACATATTGGCTTGTAAAGCTAAGTCTTAGGTAAGAAAATGCAGCTTTGTTTTTATAACTTTCTTTCATCTATATAAAAACATGAAAGACAGAATCAAACCGATCTGATGCATCACAATAGCTAGGGATTGCTGCTGGCAAAAAAAGGTTATTCACAGAAGTCCCTGTAAGCTTGTTACGAAAAACTATTTGCATTAAAAAAGAACAGAAAACAACTACAAAAAATACATTAACAATTCCTTAAAAAATTAGGAATTGGAGACATTTCCCACCTACAGAAGGGATAGTACTAAGTATTGGGCAGACAGAAGCCCACAGAAGAGAACTGATCTTGAGAAAATCAAAGCTTCCCCCTGCACAAGTGGGATATACTGATCCCAGGGTAAACACCTGTATCTCTGTATAGAAGTATAGAAGACAGTTTTCAAAGATATTACTAAAGGTAACAAATGAACTTAGGGCACTGCCCGCCAGAGGTAGATGGGCAGAGGGACCTATTCTTAAAATAAAATATTTGTTTGGGTTTTTTTCCCTCCAGGTTTGCTCAACTGATTCAGACAGCTCAAGTGAAATGCAGTCTCTGAAATGCGAAACTAGCTTAAAATACCTTCTGCCCACCTCAGCTGACCCTAACAATTTATCTGGGTTTTTAGATTGGTAACCATGACCAAAATATCTAACTGACTTCTCAAAGGAAGCATATAGGAAAGATATTTCTCTTTTTCTTTGCTGGCTAGCAAGAAGATGGTTTCATATATATTGTTTTATTTAAAAGTACAGTGATGTGACTGTTTAAAAACATTTATGGGAAAGCTTGCGCTCAAGGAAATGAGAAAAGCAAAAGTCATGTCATATTAACTTACCTCGATGAGAATTCTATAGACACAATTAAGTTTCCAGCCGCTGGCCCTTAATTTGACTGCTACAGTAGTAAATAGCTGTTGTGGAAATTTTATAGACAAAAATGGGCATCTTTTGTGGCTTATCAAGTGTGATAGACTCTGCCAATTAGATCAAGAGGCAAAACACAATCTCCACTGCATATACTCCCAGACCCATCTTTGTGGGCCAGAACTCCAATTTGCTGCAAATGCAGGCTGATATTTGCTGTGAAAAGAAAAGAAAAGAAAAAACTCAAGATGAAACAAGACATCACCTAGGGCCTGTTTCACAGTCATATTCAGATAGAGTTGTATGTCACTGCTCTTGATAGCTGAGTCAAGTGGTTCATACATCTCCACTCCAGGGTCACTGAAAAACAGTAATTTGGTTTAAAATGTTCAGAAGCAAAAATTAACCTATCCTTGTTCATGTTACCACTTCTAGGTAATGCACATATAGTTTTGAATGAATACATGAACTGAAAAGGTAATTAATTTATTATAAAGGACTATTTTTACAGACTATAGTAATGCCTGAAAGCTTAAGGTGTTTCTGGTTTAAAGAATAATATTAATTCTTCAATTATTTTTTTTGAAGATCAAAAGGAGATTGGAAAAACAATTTCTGTAAGAAGCGGTAGTCTTCTGAAGCAATGTCATTTACTTTTAGCCGTGATATGCTTTCCTTTGGATATAGACGTGCTGAACCTCAATCAGGATGCAGAGCAGCCAGTTAAAGGGGAACTTCAAAAAGCCCTGAAAAAGGGAAAGTTGCGTAAAAGTTCACAGTAATTTCTACGTACAGTCTGAAAAGGAAAGGGCTTTGTAACCTGAGTTCTCAATTTGCAATTTAAGGTGCACTGTTCACCTAAGATGTTTTTCTTAAGACTGCTTTTTGCTTTAAGATCCGGACAGACAAAAATTAGCCTTCAGATGTTTTCTCTTTTTAAAATTCTGTTTCTTTTTTCATTTCAGAAGCCTAGAAGTCTTTTAAAATAGGCCCTTCTTCACTTAGCTTTTTGGAGAAAAAGAATAGCATTTAACTGTATCATTTTCCACACTTTCAATATGAAATAATAGAAAAGTAACTCACCTCACTGGATAAGAATGACTACTCCTTCAAAAAGAAGACTGAGAATAGCAAGAACGAGGCTGTAAAATAAAGTATATCCCATGTTATTTAGTACAATTTAAAATTTCAATACAATTCAAATAGCTTTCTAATTATGATAAAATAAAGTCTGTAATTTTAATAAAGTACTGAAAAAGCCTCCAGAAGGTTTAGAAAGTTAAATACAAGCCATATGCAAGTGCTGCCCCTGTGACTTTGTTATAAATATGTGGCATATATAAACATATAAAAATACTATTTCTTATATTGTTTTTAAAACTACATTTCTTATCTTGGCTATATTTTGAAACAAATGTAACAACTTGCCCATCAGATAAAAATGTGAATAGGCAGTTCCCATAGTAATGATACTGAAGCAGAGTAAAAATCAGAAATGAAAAAAATGTAGGTGGGAAGAAAAAGTATCACAGAAACTCTCCTAAGTCCCTTTGGCAAAATTTTAACAGATGTAACCAGGAAAGTACCAGTAGAGGATGTTAATGCAGTAGTTCATACTCCTTCTGAACCCCGACATAGTGGGCCTTATAAGATGAATTAATGCAAGACAAGACAGTCACATGTATCAGGAATGGTAAGTTGTCAGGTGTTCTCTTAGAGTCAGATCACATGTTTGTAAAAGCTATAACTCAATTCAGAGTGCAAGAAACCATAAAGCCTCCACAATGTAATTTATATACTAGTAGCAGAGAAGACACCATATCAGATAACACTGATATAGGAAAAATGAGAAAGGCAGTGCTGATAGGAGCAGTAGCCCTGTACAGCTGTAACATAGGAACCCAAATTAGCTTTGTAACAGAAAAGAACACAGAGACTGTGGAAAAGGTAGCAAGGCATCAAGCCAAAGGAAGTAGTAAATGCCCAACAAGACAGAGATGTGGCAGGTGTTACAAAAATAATACTTTCCAATAGCACTCAGGTCACCAAGAACAATGTATGATGGGATGCAATCATAAGACAATGAACTCCTGGGATAATGAACTCCTGGAAAATAACATCATAAGCACAGACCTCAGAACACAGGGACAACTCTAAACAGACAAAATAGTACCCTTTAGGCTGATTCACTGACTTCTTTATTGCCAGTCTCTTTCTGTCCCATTTCCCATTGCTATAACCAGAATAATGATCTTACTCTGTGCTGCTCATGTGATAACAATCCTATGCAGAAGTCCATGCCGGAAACTGAGGAGATTCTAGTAGCAGTTACTGTAAGTGACTTTCATCATTACTACTCCACTCATATATATTCCCACAACCCTGACCCCAACACTTAGAACGTACCTAATAACAGTATTGATCTAATACACGTGTAACCAATCTGCTGAAGATCAAGTATTTTGGGAACCATTTAAAAGCTGAATCTCTATTTTGAGAATGGATATAAAATGGATATTATACTTTTATTTAAGGTATGGAATTATTTTTAAAGCTCCTTACATTTTTGGTGGTATCTCCCAGATTCTATTCCCCAAACACTTTAGGGAATAAGAGCACTTCACAATACTGTAGAGGAATTGGTTAGCATTTATGCAAGTCATCAAACTTCAGGGCTCTAACATAGATAAGTAGTATGGAAAATGACTCTCCCATAACCATCCATCATGCACGTACATGCTTTTCCACTCGACCTAGCATAGGGGCCTAAATTCCAAAAAGCATGCTCTGAAACAAGCACAGCTCCTCCTTGATAGTCTCCGCACTGAATTTCTTTCTCCACCACTGTATTATACTACACTTGAAAAAAACATCAACAACAGTGAACAAAGATATCATTAAAAAACTGCTTGGTTGATTAAATACATAAACTTGAGGTTTGATAAGCTGCTTCTGTTTTCCAGTAAAAAGGAAAGACCAAAGACAATTATATCATGTCCCTGTTCAGGCTACAGAGTACTTCTAGCTATACAGTTACTGGAATTCATTACTAATGCTTTAAAATGCCTATACTTTTTATTATTGTTTTCCCTTGCCACACTGCAGTGTTTTATATTTTGCTTTGACATTTTGACCTACACAAAGAAAGTGATTTTCTTAAAGGCAGAGAGAGGCAAGATGAGGAAGCATGGATACATTTGATAATTAATTTAAGCCATTCTTTTAAATATATTTTTATAGAGTACTACAGGTCAGTATCTTTATTCCTCTGAAATATTATCTACCCATATTGAGGAAAAGAAGTATTACATTTAAAAAACAACATAATCCAAAATTTCACATTAAGAAATAACTTATCTTTTCTTCACCACCACACAAGAAAGCAATTATATCTAATTGTCTGAGCACGCATTCCAAAACTTCACATCTGAAGAAACTAAAGGTGAGCCAGTACATCCATTGTGGAGAGAGACTGAATTTTTCCTGTCCATGTGCAAGCTTCCATTTCCATCAATGAAATTGAATGTACAGATGAGTTCTTAATTATTAATTTGCTCTAGATGTTGGCGTCAGGAAGATAGAAAGCTGAGTAGTCCCACCGCATAATGTACACGAGTTCATGGGGGTCAGTCTTGCAATGAGGTTCTAAAGTTTAATGGCATTGTTTTGCATTTTAGGAAGGACATTCATGGAATGCAATGACTATGGCTTTTTGTGCCGTCTTATTTTTAGAAGGTTTGGAAAAAATACAAAACACTTTATGATGCAGAGGATGCATATTACCACTGGCTTCCCAATAGCTAGCTTGCATTATGAATTTAAAAAGCATACTAACATATATTACAGTCTGCTCTGGTATAAAACTTTCTGCAGTGTGAAGTCAATAAGTGATTCTCACAAGTTCTTATGAATTTTAGAAGAGTTTGGGCTGCTAAGCCTCATTATAAATACAACTTTTTAAAAAAAGAATAAGGTACAGCAATCTAAATGTTCAAGAAATAAAAAGAGATGTATTGGTATGAACAAGAAACAGAATGGAGACGGGAAGTAATAAACGCAGAATGAGTCACACAATATCCTCAGAATTAAAAAATTGTTCAAAAGGATGAAGTATGGGCATACAGATGTTTTGGGACAGGAGGGTTTATTTCCATATCAGAAGAACAAGCTCCAGTCTAAATACACTGCTATTGCTCTTAGATTTTATGGTGGCACTTCTAGACTATCATTATTATTATCTGACCTCTTAATAAGCTGAGGTGCAATCAAACCAAGATTTAAAGTCTGGGTTTTACATTTTGTCTGATTCCCTACCACTAGAATTCATCATTGACATCACCTGCCAATACTGAATCCAAGCCAGTATTATGCTTTCTCAAGCCACTGCATGGACTTCCTGCTATAGCAAGAACAACCTCTAAGGAGCAGAATTTATAGTAAGTAAATGATGACAAGGACCATGTTTCTCCTATCATCTCACCAAAGTATAAATACAAACATAGCTTCCAACGCTGACTAAAGAAATCAATTTTTTCTCTCTGTTTTTTTTTCCCTTCTATGGCAAAGGCTGACAATATTCCTATCATTCCTTTAGCTTTGACTTTTATTTTCCTCTTAATTTACCTGTAGACTTTAGGCTTCTGTCCTGCACATTTAAGAAACACCACTAGTAGGGGAAGAAGGAAGGAAAGACTGATGAAGAAAATTTAGATCTAAATGAAATCCTGAAGGTAACCCTTGAAATATGGTACTGTTCAAAAACCACTATGTTCCTCAGGTTCTTTTCTGTGAGTACAAACTGTGACCACTGGTAGGAAATAGAATAGTCTGTGTCATATTAAATTTATTTTTAAATATAGAGATTACATAGGTCTACTCATATTCCTTGCACCTAAACCTATATAAATTTTAGTAACTGAATTATCTATTTGCTGCCATTATAAGCAAACATTTGTATGTGCTTTGCCTTAACCTGTCCCTTTGTTATTGATAATTTGATATTGGCTAGCAAGTATCAAAGTATACTAGTGTCATGATCCCTAAAACACAGTAATGGAAATAGTCTAATGATGACCAACATCTCAAAAGAGAGTTAAAGCTACCACTAGCTGCCTGGGCCCATAGAAGAGCTAGTAACATTCAGATCTATGTGAAAGTGTTTTTCACTAAGCACTCTTTTCTAGGAAACTTGCCTGGTAGCAACATGGTAGAGGGAAGAACACCTCAACTCCAAGTCTGCCGAGAGGTATCTTAGCACAAATAATGAAATAACTCTGGGTCATTTTTATGGGACCTAGTTCTACTAGAACAGATTTGCATATGTCAGAAACTAATCTCAGTCTTAAAATAAAAGCTAATTCAAGCTGTTAAACAAAGTATGATTTAACATTTTTTCCCAAGTGCTTTCCCCACCACGCTCACTGTTTGGATTGGTATCTGAAGAACAGCTTTTCAGTGGGACAATCATCTTTTCCTCTTTTTGCTTATGAGCCTAAAAGAGGAAAATTGAAAATGTCCTTATTTTGTAAAAATAATCAGCTGAATTTTACAAATGCAGAAGTAAGCCTCACAACTGATGGGTGCCCACTCACAAACATAAATCCCTAAGCCTCTAAGACTCTGCTAATGATTATTGCTTTTCAAAGAAATTTAAAACAGAGAAAAACTATTTTAATGCCTATTTTAAGGTGCTTTTACTCTGAAAATGAAAAAAATCATGTAAC